GCTTTCGCCACAGAGCCAGGTGCAATTGGGGGGTTTAGAATCTTTGTTTTGGTTGGCGAGTTTGAGACCTGGCGCATGCTCACTACTTTGTTTTGTGCTGCACGCCGTGCTCTTGCCGCAGAGCCGCTTGCATTTTGCACTGGCATTCGTTGTGGGTCGGGATGTGGTGTGGTCTCGAATGGTATGCTCTTTGACTATTTGGGGTTTGTCACGAAAGCTCGCGTAGCAGAGCTTGAGTTTAGTCTTGCTTTTAGCAGGGAGACAGCCCAGGGCCAGAAACCAGCGTATTATTGATAGTATCAATTTAGGAGGGGGGCTAAATTGAACGGTTCATACGAAAGCCTGTGTTTTGCCACGGGAGGGGGTGAAATTGAAAGGTTCATGCGAATCTCTGGTTTCCTGAGGGGGGGCGAGGGGGGGGGCTAAATTGATATATCAGTACTTGTTTGTGAAGTGTTTGTGCAGTGCAGCCACGTGTCTCTGCGTTTGCGTCTGTGTAGCCGTTGAGTCCTTCTGTAAAAAAAAGACCGAGCTTTCGTTCACCATGCCCCTGGCCCTCAAGTTCCGGCAGAGGGATACAGCCAATACAGGCCCCATGCCCAATGCCTTGAGTGTCTGAGCTTCAAAATCAGATGCAGATCGCAGAGGTCTGAATGCCTGGAGCTCTGCTCAGCCCCTCGAATACGCGCTGGGGCATCATGCTCTTGGGCATAGAAAGTGCAGTCCAGGGTCAATGTGCCACACTTTCATGGGGCCGGGCCGGGCCGGGCCTGTTACCTTGCGATCCACTGCAGCAGCCACTGTAGCAGTGTAGCATGGAAATGCAGGCCAACAGCGAACAAGCAACACCCCCCCAGCACGTACAGCGTGCTGATTTGCTGTTGGTGCATTTTTGTGCTGTTGGTGCGACGGGGCCTTCTTTTCTTTCTGCTTTTTTGCTGTTGGCACGCAAGGGACCGGGATTTACGTTGTTTTTGCCGTTGGTGCCGGGGGGGGGGGTGCGTTTTGTTTATCTGTTGGTGTGGGGGAGTGTTTGTTTGGGTCCGGGGGCTTTTTTTGTTGCTGTTGGTGCAGGGGTTTGTTTTGGTTTTGCTGTGGTGCGGGGAGGTGCTTTTTTGCTGTTGGCAGCAAGCTATTGGAACGGCCAAAATGCACCAATAGCACAAAAAGCACCCTGTGTTTGCCCCCCCGGAACCAACAGCGTAAAGCCAAAAACACCAACCGCTCCCCTGCACCAAAATCAAAGGAAAGCAACCCCGGAAGAACCGGCAGCAAAAAAGCACCAACAGCAAGATTAACACATTCTTTCCATGGTAGCAGCTGTAGCAGACACACATGGATGTCGAGGTTGGGCGGTGAGTCTGCGGCCATGGCCGGCCTGCCCTAACTCGACCCCTCTCGAGCAAAACAAAGTAGAAAACGACGAATTCCGGACCGCCCTAAACCCCTACACCCCACGGCGCCAGATACGAGTCTCCACAACTTGGACAGACTGAGACGACACCAGACCCAAAGCGAGGCGACCAAGGCCCACGAACGGAAGACCCATGTGAACGACGACAAGCGGCTTATCGGGACAAAAGCGCTGGGATTACCACAGCACCCGTGGGGGTGCCATGAGTCTCAGCGATGACAGATTGGTGTGGTGCGACCTCATCTTTCATAGCTCCAGCACATGCAAAGGCTTCCATGCGACTGACATGCTGCAGCCAGCGATCACCAATTTCCACTGCCTTCATACCATCAGCCCGACACTTCAATGGAAGCAACGTAGCAGAACCCCATGTGCTCGTAGTCGTCGTACTCAGGTTGGAGTCAACTGCATCCATTCGTCGGCATCGAAACACAACCTGGCGAAATATCGGCTCACAAATTCTTCCTAATACGAAATCTTGCTCGAGAGCAACTTCCAGGATCCATCATCGTTTGGCATTCAGGGGCGTACTTCTTCAACGGAGCTGACTGGTGAAAGCAAATTACGGCTCAAGAGGGAAACATCATCTATAGCAGTACGCACACGATGCAGAATGAGCATCATAAGCGCATGCTCAATTTCCTGAAATTTGGAATAACCGAAACGAAAAACAAAGACAGCAAAGCACTACCAAGATTACCAAAAGGATGAAGTTCAAACTAACGGTAACGCCCGTGAACTCGCATATCCGTTTCAGGCCGTGCCGTCCACAGGCACTCCTGCTCTGTGACTGACTTGTTCCCGTTCTGTGAACTAGCTTCATCACTATCACATTATCAAAGGTGGGCCGTCGGGCCGTGTTGAAACGTTTCGCCAACATGGCCTTTGTTTGTTTATCATTTGCGGGCCGTGGTACTCGGATGCCACGGGAACATGGACGAAATCATCTTCCGGGCCAAAGATGTGCTGCTAGCTGCTAACATGAACGTCAGTCTGCAAGCACAGCGTCGTGGACCCTGTTCGCATGCAGTTCGCAATGGAATTGAAAGATAGAAGATCCATGGTCCACATGCACGCAGGTCAACGGACAGACATCTGCGGCACCTGCAGCGCAAAATGGAGTTCCAGCCGCGGCCCAATCGCTCATATTCACGTCCATGAACATTTAGTTTCAAACGCAGAAATGCCTGCTGCATCTTTCTGTTTTCACGTTGCAGAAGTATGGCTTTCGTTGATGCGTTTGGGCACATGCGTAACGAAATGTAGAAGTTTAATTCGGTCACGCTCATGCTTCTCAGATGAGGCCAAGGAGAGCCAATCGCAGGGCTTGTCCGATGCTCACCAAGTGCATGGGTAGCTCGCAACAAGCGTGGCATATCGTGGCATCATCCAGAGGGCAATGACTCAGGCTGCACATAACCGTTCATGATTGGGAACCAGATCAGCGTGGAGTCCCAGTGCGTGTGGCATACTGAATGCGCGGTTGGTTTCCAGCATATGATTGCTTTGACAGCATGTGCTGCAGGCCGGGGCAGCTTTGCATTGAAAAGGCCTCCGCCTCCGCGTCTGATGACCGAGCGAGCATTCTGTTCTGGTTGTTCTGGTGTCGAGTTCTGTCCCTGAAGGGCAGCCTCGTCAACATCTCCTACCGAGCCGCACATGGCTGGGTTTATGCAGGTGCGCGAATTCAGCAGCTTTTATCGGTTCTCACGAGGGCCTCTCTCTGTTCCGCTCCAGTTTCCAGTTGCAGGAACCGTTCGAACTGCACCTGAAGGCGACAAATTGGAAAAAGGCCCAGACGAGGGCTGGATTCCGCAGGCCAGTTTGCAGGATCGCAGCTCCTCTTGGTTCACCCCTCATGTGATACTCCACGCTATTGGCGATTTGCAGAGGCCGTTGTTAAGCGGGTGACCATGTGCCGAGTGGCAGTCGATTGGCCAGCTGAAGGAGAAGCCATTTCTCCGGCACTTGAGTTTGAACTTCTTGTTCCGTTTCTGGCTCTTCTTTTTGGGCACGCGCGTGTCGTGCACTGATCTGCTTGGTGATGAGGCAACCTTGGGCGTCACGAAGGGAGAAATCCTTGCCGTCTCCAAGGAGGCCCGAAAACCCGACGCCCCAAGATCTCCATCCGACATTGCCTCTGCCTGTTTGGCTGTGCAGGCTGAGAGAGGATGGGTCTACGGCGAGCCCCGAGCTGAGAACATGTGCTCCGGTTCACCGGTCCCGGTCGACGCGCCCCACCACAATCCCTCAACTGCACCGGTCTCTTTTCTCGCGTGGCGTCCTTTGCCTGTCGTTCACCGGGCGAGACGCGTAAGAGCACAGTTGCTTCATGGCCGCCAGACAGCACAATGGTAGATCGCCGAGTGATGTGTCTCCAACAAACTCCGGAATCATACCTCGATGTCAGCTTTCAGATCGTGGAGATTTCACATCCGAGACCTGGGGTACTGTAGCTCAACAGTACTTCTCGAGCGCCTCAAAGGGCCCGGAAAAGTTCCCGTGGCTTGTACAAGCCTGAGCCCATCAACGCAATTCTAAAAATCTTCGCCGAAGTTGAACAGGTGTATCTCGAAAGAAAGGGATTCCAGTCTGCTTGCTCAGTCTTGTGCCTCAGCAGTTCCAAATCGAAGTTTCACCACATCTCGTCCGGCAGAAAGCTGTTCTGCTTTGCATGTGCGTTCTTTCCCGCTGCTTCGATGCGGAATTCTGCTGGGCTGCGGAAGTGGGAACTGTTCCATGCCGCAAGGCTAATCTCCGCTGACACCTGTGGGCGGTGCACGCGTCCTGACAACAAGCCTTCAGATGGCTGGCTGCCAAAGAAGGCCATGTTTCGTTGTCCTGGGAGCACGCCGCCTGAAAATGAATGCCAGGTCCTGGACTATCTTCAGTCGTGACCTCCTGGCTGGTAACCCCACGGACTCGAATGACCATTCCATGTCACATGAAAGCGTGAACTGGCTTCGCACAGTTTGGCCGCTTTCAGAAATGGGCTGGGTTTATATCATGTCACACAGGCTAGCTCGCTTCTTGTTTCAGGTACTTGTGATGCTGTACTTCGACGGATGCTAAGGAGGGGATCGGGCTAGACGATTGCTGACAAATAGTGGTCCGTCATGGTGTCAAGTCACTGCCGCTGACAGACACCTGGAGGATTGCCTGGCTCTGCTGCTCCGGCTGAGCTGAGCTAAAGCTTGCCTGGAATTGGCTTGGGGCGAGAGGTGTGGGACGAAGATTCGTCTGCAGCTACGCGGAAACAAGAATGATAATGAAGACCGCCCCAAAGCCTGCTGAAGGCAAGGCAAACCGACGGCTGGCAAGGTCCAGCCCTGTTCAATCATGTTAATATTGCATCGTGCAGGCGCTCTGCACACATCATTGCAAAGTTCAAGCAGATGTGAATGCATTTCCCCGCGAGTAGAAGTCGCATTGCACTCATTTGGGCATGTTCTTGCAGATGCTGATGATCCTGTCGCACACCATTTCGCTTGCGCTTGGGAGTTTTCTGGCTTTCAGTCATGGCTCTGCAGATTTTTTCGTTGCGGGCAGTGCATCCAGTTGTGCAAGCACGAGAGAAGGAATAGCTGAAATCCGCAAGGTCAACGAGCACTCTTACAAACGGGGCAGTTCAATAGTTGCATTTCGCACTGGCACAGACCCTTGCCCCCTGTGGCCAAAGCGGCCAGGCCAGGCTGTGCTGTTTCAGTGGTGACGCAATGTGTAGGCCAGAGATGTGTTGAGGCTTCGCGCTTTTGGGTTTAGGCTTTGGCGGGATTCAGGGTTTACCGTTTCGGGGATTCAGGGCCACGGTGCAGAGTTTAGGGATGGTCAGGGATTCTGCGTTAAGGTTTCAGAAGCGTTTTAGGGGACTACGGCCAGCGGGTGTTCATGATTTTAGGGTTTAGTGGGTCAGGGTTTGGGGTTTAGGGCCAGTGTAGGGCTCAAGTAGATTGCGTGTTGAGCGGACTTGGACTTTTGGTTGAAGCTGAGGGGTTTAGGGACTATACGTATTTTAGGGTTTGGGGATACAGGATTTTATTTAGTGTTTCGGGGTTCAGGGTCTTAGGGTGTAGGGGGTTCGGGTTTTAAAGTTGGGGGTTCGGAGTTTAGGGTTTGGTTTTGGTGGTTCAGGTTTTCTTTGGGTGTTCCGGGTTTAGGGGTTTAGGGATGTTTAGGGTTGGGGGGATTTACAAATTCGGGGGCTGAAGGGGTGCAGGGCTCATGGTCTGCTGTTCAGTTCAGGAATATTTTTCTAGCATTTTGGAATCTTTCAAGGTTTATGGTTTGGAGGGGTTTATGATCTAGGGGCTTTCGGGGTTCGGTGGGTTTTCATGTTTATTCGCCTGTTTCTTACGTTGGCTGCTTGCTGCAAGCTGACTGTAGAGCTTGGGGGGGGGTTTAGGCCTCAGTGGTTGAAGAGGCTTTTTAAGGTTTGAGACGGTTTCAGGGTGCAGGCTGCAGGTTGTAAGGTTCAGGGTTTGTGGGTTTACCGAGGGGGATCCTTTAGAGTTAGACGGGTTTCGGGGTTTATAGTGTAGAGGGGTTTTTGGGCACACGGAAGTTAGGCAAGCTTAGGGTTTGCCGGGGAAGGGTTGGCGGAAAGTTCACTGTATGAGACGTATGTTGTTGATGGTGTGCCAATTCCGTAGACCTTTTTTTTGGCGTGTGTATGCGTAACGTGTGTGTATGGGTGTGTGTTATCCATGGGTCATACCGAATGCTGCAATGTGTGGGACCACACGCGATGAGGATGGGCAAGAAAGCTGCTGTGGAAGAGGACGAGAGGAAGCTCCGGATTGCCATCGTCAGCACGGACCGATGCAAGCCCAAGAAGCCCTTCCGGCTCACATTGCGAGTTGCAGCATGTCTCCTGCGAGCTCTTTTGTGTCAGGTGTAAGCAGGAATGCAAAAAGTATTGCCCGGTGGTGCGAACGGGAAAGCTTTGTGTGGAGGCAATGCTAGCTGCACGTCCACGACGTCTGCTGAAGTGCTAAAAGCTGTGGGAGTGGTGCTGCAGGTCAGCAAGGATTCCAAAATCAGCTGGATTTCCGAATCGTTGTGCATCGGCTGGACTCTGAGGAATGCGTGCAGTTTTGTGGTACATTGCATGCAACCAGCTCCATTGATCGAATTTTTCTGTCATCTCAGGTTGCGGTATATGTGTGAAGAAGTGCCCCTTCGAGGCAAGGACTGCAACCCGATGCTACACTTGTGAGTATGTGCAGCGCAGCTTGTGTCGTGCGGTCACAGGCCGCGAAGCGATCCCTGATAGAAAAGTTGAGATGTTCTGACTCCTGAGCGCACTGTCTGCCGAAGCACGTTTGCAACCATACAGTTTGTTTTCTTTGTTTGCTTCTGCGGACCAAGCGATAGCAAGTCCACATGTAACCAAGCTTGGTGCATACTTGTATGAGCCTGCAAAACAGCCTGGTGGTGTTTGACCTGGTCGCAGGCTGCTAGATGTCAAAACGACCACTTTTGGCAGAATGTGAGCAGCTGCATGAGACCAGAGACACTTGGTTTTGCTGGGAGGCCATCAATATCATCAACCTGCCGAAGGCGGGGTGTCCAGTTCATCAAAAGAGTATAGCTAGTTGCAGCCGAGAGGTCTCCACCGTAGGAAATCTGGAAAGGATCTTTCGAGTCACACAACGCATCGATATGGCCGGTGGCTCAGAAAAGGGCAGCTCCTGGATCCTGCAGGGCTAAACCTGAACTGAAAAGCACTCGTTGGCAGACTGCACAGCACACCACGCGTTGGAATTACCGACCTCAGTTTCGGAAGCTGAGATCCCAAAATCTGGATTCGACCGTCTGGGTTTCGGGCTCATGAACTGGGAGTATCATAAGTGCGAACTCTGGCACTTTGGCTGACATTTTCAAGTTGAGTGACGTTTGCCCAGCCCTTGCTGCCTTCCATGCAACAAGCACTGCGGGGACCTGCCAGAGTAAAGTGTTTTCGACAGGACCGAACAGCTTCAAGCTCCATCGTCTTCCGACACCGCGCGCAGGAGCTCTCTGAAGTAGAGTTCTCGTGTCAGTGAATAGCTTGGCAGGACAGGTGTTGGGCCTTGTGGGAACAAATGGCATTGGCAAGTCCACGGCTCTGACAGCCAGTGCCTCGAACGTCAGAAGTGTGCTTGGGAGCCGTTCAGAAAGAGATGCCGCTTTGATTCCACCTTGGTAGTGTCTTCGAGCAATTTCAGCAGGCCCTCAGGTGTGCCTAGCTGTGACTGCCAAGTTGTCAGCGCATCGGGATGTTCTAAACATGGGATCACATGACGCAGACAATCCAATATGGGATCTTTGGTACGGTCAGAGAAAGCCAAGAGCCGGTTCGTGCAATGGATACCGACTTGCTGCAGTGCCCGCTATGGGTCTCTTTCGAAGACGACTCAGGCCGGCCAAGTCCAATCTTCTTCGTTACGAGCTGCTGAAAGAGACGAAATGGAGTTTGTTTTGGTTTCATGTTGGCTTTCCGCTGAGGCAATTCCTACTTCTTCAATGTTCAGTCTGGGGAATGCCGTCCGCTTGATCCCGATCCCGATGGAGACCAGAGCGTTGCTCTAGAGAAGAGCAAAGAAGAAGGCCTCGACCAGCTCTAACCTCCTGTGCTTTATCTGCTTTATCTCAGTGTCAGTCAAGCACATGGTTGTGAGAATCCGGCACTTTCCCCAACCACATTGAGCACGCTTCAACTCGTAAAGTGTAGATGAGTGCCGTCGGTTCACATCGACGAAGCTTCCACGGGTTGGGTCATGCTTCATTGCTTGTACGGCTGGTGGTGGTGGTGGCGGTGGACACCCCAAGGCTCATCAAGGCTCCACCCGATGAAATCCAGAGATCCCTAAACCTCGCATCGTTCTGTCCTTTTTCTCTGTCTGTCTGTCTGTCT